TGTGACTGGGTGGGCATGGTCAACTTTTTTTTTTTTACTTTTAAAACCATTTATTTTAAAATGCTTTTAAAAGCCTTTGCCAATCCCAGCTGAGCCGCACGATCATCAGAGACTTTTTTTTTTACTTTTAAAAGATTTTTTTCAGCCGAAGATGTTGTAGAAAAAATCCTTTTAAAAATATTTTTTAAAAAAGCCTCTGATGATTGCGCAGCTCAGCTGGGCATGGGGCCGGGGCAGGGATTTTTGCTCCGAACCACCCGCCTCCATCACTACCGGATTGGGCGATCCGGTCCAAACCGGAAGCATTTCACCCCTGAATTGAACCCATATGCCAAAACTGTGAGGCGTGTCATGCTAAAAATCACAAACTCAGAGAGGAGAAGGCAGCGAAAGGGAAAGCGAAGACCCAAGTGGCAGGTGCTGAAAAGAGTGAAAGAAAAGCATAAAAAGAAAACTTCTGCACTTTTATGATTCAATGGTCAAAAGGTCTCAATTTACACATAATAAAAAAGATAGGATAGGATAGGATAGGATAGGATAGAATAGGATAGGATAGGATAGGATAGGATAGAATAGAATTCTTTATTGGCCAAGTGTGATTGGACACACAAGGAATTTGTCTTTGGTGCATACGTAAAAGAAAAAGATACGTTCATCAAGAATCATAAGGTACAACACTTAACTTTAGTCATAGGGTACAAATAAGCAATCAAATCATATTAGGAAACAATATAAATCATAAGGATACCAGCAACAAGGTTACAGTCATAAGTGGGAGGAGATGGGTGATAGGAACGATGACAAGATTAATAGTAATGCAGACTTAGTAAATAGTTTGACAGTGTTGAGGGAATTGTTTAGCAGCATAGCATGCGCTATGGGGCAGTATACAAGCCTAAATGCTATTGCTATTCCAACCATCACAGCATCCTCACAATCATGTGATTAAAATTCAAGTGCTTGGCAACTGACATGCTACAGTGGTGGGATTCAAATAATTTAACAACCGGTTCTCTGCCCTAATGACCGGCTGGGTAGGTGTGGCCATAGGTGTGACAGGCAGCACTCTGCCTCTTGAACTCCCATGGGAGGGAAAACGGGCGTGGCGGAGGGCTCTTCGGCTCTATTGGTGATATCCTGGTTCTCCAAAATGAAGAATCTGTCATTAAAGACTGTTTATTAAATACCTGTGGATGCCAGGAGTGATTTAAGACTCTTTCCATGCATACTATATATTCTAATACAGTGCAGGTAGTCCTTAAATTATGACCACAATTGAGCCCAAAATTTCTGTTGTCACAGGAAACATTTGTTAAGTGAGTTTTGCCCCGTTTTACAATCTTTCTTGCCAGAGTTGTTAACTGAATCACTGCAGTTGGTAAGTTAGTCACCCGGTTGTTAAGTGAATCTGGCTTGCCCATTGACTTTGCTTGTGAGGAGGTCACAAAAGGGGATCACGTGACCGTGGGACACAGCAACGGTCATAAATATGAATATGCATATCTTTTAAGCAACACACCCAAAGGTATTCAGTGGGATTTAGTATTTGTTAGTAAGGTAATTTGAAAACCCTTCTTCAAGCAATTTGTGAAATCACATGAATTTAGATAACGTACCGTACATGTTATTTAACCTTGCAAGAAAGCTTTACCCAATTATGGGTGTTGGGATGCCTAATATTTAACACTATATGTGTTAATTCTTGCCCCACATCTTAAGGATGACGAGCGTTATGTTTTGCTAAATTAAGAAACATATGCAAATGTCTCCGGCTTGTACATATCCTTCATTTTTGTAGAATAGGAGCTATCAAGTTACAGAAACAATTGTTCAAGGTAGAATAATTCAACCGTTAGTCCTCATTTAGTGACCACCATTGGAACTGGAAACTCTGTGGTCAAGTGAAGTGGTTGCTAAGTGAAACTGAAACTGTGCTTATGATTTTACTACAATTTTCCTTTGCTTTACAGTCCTGCAAAAGTTGTAAATGCAAGGATTGGTCACAAAGTTACCTTTTCATCACTTCATAACCTTAAATGATGGCTAAGCAAGGCATTTGCTGAAAAAGGACTACCTGTACTCACTATTTTTAACCCAATCACTTTTTCCTCTTTTCATTTCCTATTCTTATTCCCTTAGCCCAGTGTTTCTCAACCTTGGTAACTTGAAGATGGGTGGACTTTAACTCCCAGAATCCCCCAGCCAGCGCTGCTGGCTGGGGGATTCTGGGAGTTGAAGTCCACCCATCTTCAAGCTTCCAAGATTGAGAAACACTGCCTTAGCCATTGTATAGATGCATAAGGAAATGTTGGCATGAACGACAACATTCATCCGATGGTATATATTTTGTACACATGATAAGCTTGTACATTTTGACCTACAATAGGGTGTAAGTTGTTCTATTTGAAAAGAAAGGAAGTGGAGCCCCCAGTGATATTGTCAATTAAAGCATTCTATTCAATGACCTCAGTCTCCAGATTTAAAACAGATGAAATTTACTGAGCTATATAGAATAATTAGCTTCCAGCAGGAATTCATTGTGCTAGAAATGGTGGCTCTCATATTCACCCCTCTCACATTTAAACCCATAATTTTCTTAAGGTGAGTTTTTGCAGATGTGGAACTACAAATCACATCACCCCAATTAACACTGGTGTCAGGTTTCGATGTCTCAATTAAAATAAATTGCTTTTCCAAACAAATAATCTTTGAAGAAATCTTTCATTTTATTAAGCACGACAACCTGTCCCCGATTGTGGCGTAGCCAACACTGACTTCCTGACCCCAAATCTTCCCTTTCCATTCCCCAATTCTCGGCATCTCATTGGCCCTCTTCCAAATCACTCTCCCCATATCTAGTACTTCAGCTCCCAGGAATGTCCCCCCTCCCATCTCATCTCCTAGGGGACATTATCTTCAGGGAAAATAAGTAGGTGAGAAGTCAAGCGTCCTCTTGCCAGCTGCCCCCTCTTCTCCTTCTTATGTCAGCACTAGAGTAAATGCAGGTTGAAGTGCTGACAACTGGGTCTGTTTTCCAACACGTAGTCTTGAAGGATCATGGATACTGAAATCTTACATTTTGTGTGTGTTTCAAATACAAATATGACCATGGTAAAGGCAAAGAACCAGTGAGTAGACCAATTCTTTAGAACCTCTTCAAACAAAGAGGAGTGGACAAGAGATCACCCACATAAACTCTGGATGGCTGAGATTTCAGGATAGCAGTTTTCTGAAATACTGGATTATGGGAGTTAAACCAAATAGCTATCATGCTCATAGCCTCAGTGAGCCTTTCAAAGGACACCAAATTCACAAAGCTCACTTTCTAAGTTTTTAGAGTTTGTTAACAAAAAAGTATAGCGTCATTATTATATACATTGCATAGTTCTGAATAAAGGGTAGGAAGGAATCTACTCTTGCAGCAGAGGTGGGTTTCAGCAGTTTCTGACCAGTTCTGGAAAACTGGTAGCGGAAATTTTGAGTAGTTCGGAGAACCGGTAGTAAAAATTCTGACTGGCCCTGCCCACATCTATTCTCTGCCTCCCAAGTCCCAGCTGATCGGGAGGAAATGGGGATTTTGCAGTATTCTTCCCCTGCCACGCCCACCAAGCCACACCCACCAAGCCATGCCACGCCCACCAAGCCACACCCACAGAACCGATAGTAAAAATCTTGAAACCCACCACTGCCTTGCAGCCCCCAGATGTTTTTGAAGTACAATGATCTCACACTGGCAGGACATCAGCTACAACTGGAGGGTTGCAAGGGCAAGCTACACATTACTTTAAGTCATATGGTTTGCTTGTGTCTTAATGTGGTAGATGAATTTGGCCAGTTCTTGTGGCTGATTCAACAGGCTGAACTAGCACGACACAAAGTCACCTAAAGTGTGTTTCAATTCTGCGTTAGCTATGCATGCAAAAGACAAAGCTTTTTTTTTTCACTCAATGAACCTGATGTTATAGAGGCCTAAAGGGACTTTACAAAATGCTCATAAAACATAATGTTTTTCCCCCTCCGAACTGTAACCTTCATTATAAATTAACAAGCAAGCTTACACACATACCTTTGCCCTGTTGGACCCTTAAAATGCTTAACTGAATTTAACATTACCTGCACGAGGATGACTTAAGAACAAAAGACACATCCTACATCAGATGCCGAGAAGCAACAAAAGAGTTATCAGCTCTGTACCCCAAAAGAGCACAGCCTCCACATTAGGAGAGTCTTACTGCCTCTCATTTCCTTTCCCTAGCCCACCCCCTTCCATGTGTGGGTATGGACACATAGGGGGCTGCTGTAAGGAGGACACATTTCATGGTTTTGCATCCAATGGAAGCCACAGTTACATGCAGAAAAAAATACTATTGCATGCATAGATTATATAGCAATAATATATAACTTAGACTTATATACCTCTTTACACTGCTTTACAGCCCTCTCTAAGTGGTTTACAGAGCCAGCCTATTGCCCCCCCCAACAATCTGGGTCCTCATTTTACCCATCTCAGAAGGATGGAAGACTGAGTCAACCTTGAGCCTGGTGAGATTCAAACTCCCAAATTTCAAGTAGCCAGCAGTCAGCAGAAGTAGCCTGCAGTACTGCACTCCAACCATTGTGCCACCAAGGCTTATATAGGAAGAGTTGTGATATTGGGAGAAATGCCATTGCAAAACAGAAAATTTAGGTATAAAACTTCAAGACAGCTGCCCCAAGTAATGTCAGACGCAAACAACTAGAACCCCTTGTGAATAGTCTCATGCCAGACAGAGTGTTTTCCCTTGAGAACGGTCAGATAAGAGCTTCAGGGATTCTGGGGGAGGTCAGGCCTGTGCCACTTTGTGCAGTGCAAGGATCTAAGCTCACCCCCCCACCACAACACCTCTCTCCAGTCAAGCTGGAGATTCCTTTACAAGTAGTTCATATCTGGTTGGGGTGTCCACAAGGAGTGGGCAAAATATTAAGATGGCCGTGGTGAGCCACTGATGTTCCACCTGGTTTTAATGTGTGACAACACATAGAAAAAGGGGCAAAGCTTTCGTTGCTTTTCATTTATTTATGTGTGATGTTTATACTGAGTCACCCAACGCAACCCAGGATCTAAAAGTCCTTCCCAAGAGAATCACACGCTTTCTCTTTTAAGAGGCTTTTGATTAAACATTTAAAAATAGTTGGAAAGTAGTTTAATTGTCCAATCGTGTCCCTTGGGGTTGTTGTTTTCAATTCTGTTGCTTTTAAATGCTCACAGTTGTTAGCTGCTTGGTCTGCTGAGAAAAACGGGGTAAAAATAGGTATTAAAAATGAATAAACACATCCTCCTCCTCCTCAACCATTTTGCCTCCCCAACCCATTACCACTTCAGACAGGCTTTTCTTCAATTAGTTTCGATTCTAAAGCAAGGCTAGGACAAATCGATCTAAGAAAATAACACTAGAGAGATACCGTAGTACATAGAGTAGTACAGTACAAGAAAACTGGTTCTGGCCTGGAAATATCAAAGGACCAGCCTGCAGTGCCTCTGCTGGTCAAAATGGGCCATGTACGGCTCCTGCGTGGCCCATTTTTGGCCGGCAGAGTGTTGCTGAAGGCCGGGGAGGCCAAAAATGGGCCACACATGGGCCTCACGGGGTCTCTGCGCAGCCCGTCTTTGGCTGGCAGAGTGCTGCAGGAGACCATAGAGGGCAAAAATCAGGCGCGAAGGGGTCGTGCGCGAGCCCCCCGCGCCCCGTTTTGACCTGTAAAGTGCTGCAGGAGGCAGTTCAGGCCGAAAACGGGGTAAGAATAAGGATAAGGATAATTTTATTTCTATACTGGGTAGAGGGAGCTGTGCGCGTGGCTGCCACACCAGGGGTGGGTTCTACTTACCTTTACTACCGGTTTGCAATGGGACCGCTTGCGCACGTGTCTGCACATGCGCAGAAGCTTCCTGATGACATCTGGGTCTGTGGGCAGAGCCTCCCACCGGTTTTACTACCAGTTCTTGCGAGCCAGTCTGAATCGGGGGCAACCCACCACTGCGCCACACCCCGTTTTGGCTGGCAGGGTGCTGCAGGAAGCATCTGTCCCGTCTCCGCCACTCCCACCCCCACCTGCCAGCTGTGGCTCAGTGGCTAAGACATTGAGCTTGTTGATCAGAGAGGTTGGCAGTTTGAATCCCTAGTATAGGTCTCCTGCCTGAGCAGGAGGTTGGACTAGATGACCTCCAAGGTCCCTTCCAACTCTGTTACTGTGGAGAACTACAATGCTGATTTGGCCCTCGAAGAAATCCAGTTTGACACCCCTGACCATCATGTGGCTTCTTTGACTTCTTGGCATGTTGTGCAAGTCCACCCATGTGGCTTAACCAATTGTCCTTAAACTGCTTAACGCAATGTAGAAACTTAGTTGAGAAGTTCTTCTCTTGCATCTTCCCTGTGATTCTTCCATTAATCTAAAATCAGATTCCTCCTTACAATTCTGTTTTCTAGATGATCAGGACAGGTATGTACATCACAAAGCATAGGTGCACTCCACCACACATAACCAGCTTGATCTCTGGCAGCCCTGCCTTTATCATGAGTTGATTTTAAAATAATTTCAACTCAGCTGTTGAAATTATTTTAAAATTGTTTTAAACTCCGCTTTCGTTGCATCGTTCTTCAATTTACCCTTCTTTACCTCCTCACCAGTAAAGTGAGTCAGGAAAAGGTCTTCGTCTTGAAAAGAATTGCTCTGTTGCTAACTTTCTCTTTTGAAACTGGGGCTCTTTCTACCCAAGCTGAGAAGATTCAGTAAAATTACAGCATGTGAGAAAAGCCGGCCAGTAAGGCAAGTTAGATCACAATCAGGAAACTGAAACTGTTGTTTTCCTTCTGGACCTGACTAGCTTTAAAGGAAGATAGAATTTCAGAGTTCCACCCAAGACGAGGTACAGACAGGAGTGGGCTGCTGGGTGTTCGCAGGGGTTCAGGAGAAACTCTAGCTAAGATTCTGTGCAGTTTGGAGAACCCCCAAATCCCACTGCTGGCTGGCCCCACCCATCCCTCCCCTCCCCTCCCCGGAGTCCCCACGCAACCTATTTTCGATGCAGGTAAATGCAGGGTGCGTGCGGGGGCTCAGGGAGGGCAAAAAATGGGCCTACTGGAAGTTTGGGAAGGCCAGAAACAGGCCCGTTTCCGGCCTCCGGAGCCTGGGGAGGCCGTTTTCGCCTTCCCAGAAGCTTGAGGAAAGCCGCCGGGGCCCGGGGAGGGCAAAATATGCCCCCCCCCCCATGGTGCAGGAGGCCGACTAGGCCATGCCCACCATGGCCACGCCCACCCAGCAACCGGGCAGAGAACCCCTTGCTAAAATTTTTGAAGCCCACCCCCGGGTATAGACTATCAAAAGTTCTTAGCAGGTGCTCTGTCTAGGTTTATGGTGGTTTGGGCTCTTTTTCATGGGAAATTGTCCAAGTGAAAGTATCGCTTCACTAAAGGGGAGAATGTCGCAAAAAATGCAATGCTTGTAAAAAATGTATTGTGATAATGATAAGGTATGATGGAATATATTATATATAGAAATAAGGGATAATGGGACAAAAAGATAAGTATAATCAAAGAAAAGTAGTGAGGAAAATGTAAAATAATAGAGGATTACCGTTGCTGTACAGAAGGAGTATATGTTTTATGTTTGTGTTTGTTATGTCTTGTTATTTTAAAAAATAGAAAGTATTTTATTTGCTTAAAAAAAAAGTATCGCTTCTAAGAGACCAAGAGAGATCAGCCTGAAGACTTCCGGGATCACCTTCCTTTTCCCCAATTCATTAGTCCTAGAAATCCCTATCTTTCCTCCTACAAAAAAAAAATCACTTAGGGCAAACATGAGATTCATGCATAAGCCATGATTTGTTTAAACCATGATTTGTTAAAATGGCTTGATGATCTATACCTCATGCTAAGCCAAACAAAGCCATGTAATTGTCTAATGAAAATGTGTGAATGCAGCTATTTTTCACATTTGAATCTGGTTTTATTCAGCCTTATTTCCAATCATTACGCTAGGCTTTACTCATTTTCAATTTGGGAATCCTTGTTTATGATTTTAGAGGAAAATAGATAAACTGGCACCTTCAATTCCTTTAATAGAAGAACAGTGTCCAAAACTAATACTTTGCCTTGGGACACAGCCATTCCTAGGCATCTATTTTTAAACGCTGAAAATGTAAATTATGACAAAGGCCTGTTTTTGGCAGTTTAGCTGTGAAATGATGGCAGAAATGAGGTCAGGCTGGTAGGAAGAGATTTAAGCCTTGCTTTAATAAGAGGATGGGAGCCAAATATTGCCTTGACTCTGCCCACTATGACAAGGATTGCCAATAATTATCAAAATCTCAGATTGTGTTTAGCTAAGATTTTCGTTCACAAAAAGCCATCACGGTCTGGTTCATACAAAATGCTTAGTCATTAGTTACACATCATTGCTAAGCCCCCAACCCAATGTGGTGGCTTATAGATAGTCCTTGACTTACAACCATTCATTTAGCAACTGTTCAAAGTTACAATGCTACTGAAAAAAAGTAACTTACAACTGGTACTTGATCTTAGTTGCAGCATCCCCATGTCAACCCTGAAGCTGTCCTGACTGAAGTCATTTTTTTGTCCTCTTCAGTGTGTAGGAAGTTAGCACCCACCCCTCTCCTAGAAGAATAAAATATTTTAGGAAATATTAAAAAGGCAGAATATATTTCCCTGGATGAGAAATGGAGAAACATGTTTTAAAGACAAAGCAGCTCCCTGCCTCCCCCCACCTTTGTCAATGGGCCATTAAGGCCTCAGCCAAGCTCACTCATTTCCCCCACCTTTGTCAATGGATCATCATCTACAATACAATAGAACCCATCTAGCAACAGAAACTCACCACATGGCACCTGGGAAGATTACATCAGCCAGCAAGGCTAGCTAAGACCCCCCACCCCCTGGGAGTCTGACAACCAATCAGGATACTCTTCCTGTGCCCCAGAAAGTTCAAAGCACAGAGAGGGCATAAAACCAAGGCACATTCAGCATCTCAGCCCTTTTCTGTTCAGGAACTTAAACCATGTGATCCTGTCCACCATTAAACCATCTTTCCAAGCAGTCTCCATGTTTCCAGTGTCTTTTTCCCCACTTGGAGTTGAACCCAGAAGGATATTTCTTCCAACATGTGTTGCCACACTGGAGCTGAGGGTCAGGGAGGGGGGATTTGAGATAGAGGGATTTTTGTAGCCAAAACAAAATACTTTTTCTTGGGAACCAAGGACATTCTCACACCTGGTCGGAAGAAGGCAGAGTGATGCCCACCCAGTTGTCGGACTGCACGATGATTGGACCATGTGACTGTTTTGAGAAAATAGAAAAACTTTTACTTTTAATGAGGTGAAAACTGTGCGGGAGTTTCAGAGTTGGTTTTCACCAGATATGTGCCACCATGATATTTCCAATAAAAGTAATCTTTGAAGAACTCAAATGCCTCAAAGTCTTGCCTGCAATGAAATTATTACTTGGAACCCCAGTCACATGATCAAAATTCAGGCACTTTGCAACCGGCATGTACCTACATTGGCTGAAGTGTCCTGGAGCTGTGTGATCACTATCTGCAACCTTCCCAGCTGGTCTTCAACAAGCAAAGTCAACTGGGGAGGCCAGATCCGCTTAACAATCACGATTCATTTAACTACAACGATTCACTTAACCAGGACAGAATGATAAAATCAGGAGTGGCTCACTCAATAACTGCCTTGCTTAAGAACAGAAATCCTGGTTCCAATTGTGGTCGTTCAGTCAAAGACGACTTGTACCCAATAATATTCATATGCTGAATATTGCTCACCTGCTTTATGTATAAGTCACCTGGAATCCATCTGATGGCAACGTTTGTTGGGGAAAAGAACATTCAGGACTAGTGCCCCCTACTGACATGATTCAAACAACACACCAAGCCAACAGCAAAGAAAGCACATTACTGTATAACTTATCTCCACAAAGCATCACCAACACACATCTGCTTCGGAAGCATTCAGGAGTCATTCCATCTTGGTACTCACCGAGCTTTACTAGGTTACTACTGGCAGCTTACTTGGCAGCAATATTTTAAAGCAGGGGTGTTCAACCTTTGCAACTTTAAGATTTGTGGACTTCAACTCCCAGAATTCCCTAGCCAGCATTATGACATATTAAACTGACAGTTTAGGGTTTCCAGCCATAGAGGTCCAAAAGCAGGTTAAAAAGCAGTCAATATTGGTGGCTCTCAAGTCCTGGCAAATAGATGGGGCAGAAATGGAGGTAGTGACAGATTTTATTTTCCTGGACTCCAAGATCACTGCAGATGGGGACTGCAGCCAAGAAATTAAAAGACAATTGCTCCTGGGGAGGAAAGCTATGGCAAATCTAGACAGCATACTAAAAAGCAGAGATATCACCCTGCCAATAAAAGTGCATATAGTCAAGGCTATGGTTTTCCCAGTTGCAATGTATGGCTGTGAAAGTTGGACCATAAGGAAGGCTGAGCGTCAAAGAATGGAGGCCTTTGAACTCTGGTGCTAGAGAAGATTCCTGTGAGTCCCTTGGACTGCAAGGCGATCAAACTGGTCAGTCCTAGAGGAGATCAACCCTGACTGCTCTTTAGAAGGCCAGATCCTGAACATGAAACTGAAATACTTTGGCCACCTAATGAAAAGGAAGGACTCGCTGGAGAAGAGCCTAATGCTGGGAAAGATTGAGCGCAAAAGAAAAAAGGGACGACAGAGAACGAGGTGGCTGGATGGAGTCACTGAAGCAGTCAGCGTGAGCTTAAATGGTCTCTTGGGGATGGTAGAGGACAGGAAGGCCTGGAGGAAAGTTGTCCATGGGGTTGCAATGGGACAGACACGACTACGCAAATAACAAAGCAACCACCTAAACCAAGCATCTGCAAGTTATGCTCACAAAAAATCAAGAGATGGCAAAAGATCCACCTATTTTTTAAGTGTACACTGGATAAGAGCTTTGATTCCACCATTGCAGCCTTCAACTTGGTGTTTTATTTTTAAACCAAACTCTGCAGATACCCCTGCATCTATGCTGGAGAACAAAAGCCATTTCTTAAGTTTATATATTGCCCTAACCCAGTGGTGGTGAACCTATGGCACACGTGCCAAAGGTAACATGCAAAGCCCTCTCTGTGGGCACACACACCGTCGCCCCAGCTCTGTTTCGAGTCTGTGTCACGCGTGCACGCACGCCTCCCATCGGCCAGCTGGTCTTCAGGTCTCTGCCATACATGTGTGGGGCATGCATGTATGCATGGGGCACAGGGGCACATGTGCCCACATCTTGCAGTTTGGGCGTGCACACACACACTTTGGGCACTCAGTGCTTAAAAGGTTCGTCATCACTGCCCTAACCCCTGATTTACTCAGCTATGAATAAACTGAAATTAGCCATTTTAGTACACCTTGGTAAGCTATGCACCCCGATTTACAATTTACAGTGGCTGGATTCACATGATATGCTAAGCTAATGCCAAACAAACCACTTTATGGTTTTATATGATCTGCCATCTCCTTCTTGTTTTAGTAAAATCAGTCACTCTTACTAGGAGATGTTAATTACATTCTTTGACAAGAGCAACTTTGTACAATTGTTTAAAATCATATACAGAACTCTGGTTATGCTGAGTGCTATCATCAGACTCCTAATACTTGGTTTCAGTCACCTGAATTAGAAGAAAAGGAAATATTGGCTGACCTGATTTGTGTATTATGCAGACTCCCCTGTAAAACCAAGGCATTTGAAACAATCAACATTTGAAACAAGGTAGTCCTTAAACTTCTTTGCAGCTGCTCCACTGATTATTTTGCCTCCATAAATCATCAGGCTGTACCTCTGATTGGCAGCTGTATGCAGAAGGCAGCCATATTTTTTTGTATTTTTTTCCAATACAGAATTTACAATAAGGGCAACCAAGCTTGAAAAAACAGGAGAGAGAGAGAGAGAGAGAGAGAGAGAGAGAGAGAGAGAGAGAGAGTTAACTCGCCCACTTATCTCAGACAAAAAACTCACACACCTGCATTTGTTCAAGCAGGTGATCTATGGCTGTTGTTAAAAATGGACAGAAAGTGTTTCTAAGTTAGGAAGCAGTATGTTCTGTCCCATAATTGGGTAGACCAGGTTGCCCTGATAGACCGGTCCCACCGGAGAAAAAGCATCTAAGTTAGGAAAGAAAAAAAGTGTGATATATTCTGATTACACGTGTACAATTATATATCATTTTTCATTTTGGGATTTATTGTTTTTCCTTAGTATTGGGCCCAAAGGGGCACACGTATCATGAACAATAATAAATAACAATTCCAAAGACTCCAAGGGAACAACCATTACAAGAAAACATTGGTTCAATCAATACATGCATTATCCAGGAATATAAATCTATAGGTTATTGAATAAAGTGATATAACATAAGAGGCCAAACAACTTACAGGAAGGAGAAATAAAGCTCAGCACAGATTTAAAAAAACACACAACCATAATCAGAAAATGGATATTTCCATAATATAACATTTTCTACAATTTAACTGCAAAACTTTGGCTGAGCCAGAACTGTTACCTGTGGCAGCTTTACTTAAGCCAGCTTTTCAAGCTTGGCTGCTGCAAGCTAAGAGAAGATGGAACTGGCTGACCATCTCAGCCCGCTGAGCCTCCAGGCCTTGCATTCCCACAGGTCTTCCCTCTACTTGGAAAGCCTATGCTTGTAGTCCTCAGTGAGGTGCTTCTGCTGAGCCTCCTTCTCGGTCAGATCTAATTTGAACTGAGCTGTTTTGCCAACTCTTTCTGGTGGTGGCTGCTTAGCTCCAACAACTGCTTCCTTTTGGGGCCCTAAGGAGCCTTTGGCGGGGAGGTGATGAGTTGGCCATGCCCACCCAGTCACGTGCCCAGCTAGCCATGCCCACCCAGCTGGTCATTAGGCAGATCATATTAGTGGTCCATGGGATTTAAAATTATGAATTTAGTAGTCCCTGAGGTCCGAAAGGTTGGTGACCCCTGTTCTAGTCCAACCCCCTGCTTAGGCAGGAAACTCTATACCATTTCAGACAAATTTTCTTCCTATCCTGCTTCTGTAAAGTCCAATTTCCCCTTCCATGGAGTGATACAGGGAATACCATGTAGGTGGGTGGGGAGGAGGTAAAAGATCTCAAAACCATAAGAGCAAAAGACAAGGGAAAATGACAGGGGACACTAGAGGCGTGGCTTTTTCACACACCAGCCATATACACCATTTAGTTTTGAGGACCCAGATTGTGGGGGCAATAAGCTGACTTTGTATAAATATACAAAAGTATGAAGGCTATTGCTTAACGCATTGTAAGCCGCCCTGAGTCTCCGGAGAAGGGCGGCATATAAATCAAATAAAATAAATAAAAATAAATAAAATAAAATAGTTTTAAATTAATAGAATGTTTTTTTAATGGTCAGGTGGGCAAGAAAGTCCCTGAGTATTAGAGAGAGATCTGCAAGCCACCTGCCAGCTTTGACACATTGATGGATATCAGACTGCCTATCTCAAGCACAATTGCCAGGGCTTCCCAAAATAATTATTAGCTTGATGAAACTTTTGCCTTTTCTCAGAAAATTGCCCCATTTTTTTTTTAAAGAAAAGAATCCCACTCTCCCCTATAGTTCTTGGAGAGATTCAATCACTTCATTGCAAAGGTATATGATAATATCCTATATAAGCTGAAAGTGAATTGTTTTTTTTTTTTTTAAAGTGGATCATTATTAAAACGTTTCAACTACAGTAGGGGTTTAATTGTTTGATGGCGCCACCGTGTGTTAGGAAACGGCATGGACTTGCATCAAATTAGGGAAAAAGTAATGCTTATCAAAAACCCATACCTGAAATTTATTGATAGATCTTCTACTTTTCAAATCCATCTTTCCTCTGGAATTCCAAGTCCTCCCTTCTCCAATTTCTTCCCAATCCTGAAATAGGTTGAACAAGTCCCTTACTCTATACCAGTGATGGCTAATCTTTTCCAGACCGAGTGCACGTGTGAACCCCAAAATGCAATGCGCGCAGCCCGTGCATGCACGCCCTGCATGTGCATGCACATGCATGCGGGGCCCCCCTCATGCATGGCAGAGACCCGAAGAGCAGCTGGCTGGCGGGAGGTGTGCGCGCATGCACGGCAGAGCTTAGCTGGGGTGACAGCTTCTGGGCCACAGAGAGGGCTCTGTGTGCTACCTCTGGCACGTGTGCCATAGGTTTGCCACCACAGCTCTATACTCTTTATGTGCATGACTGCAATTCCCACTCACACCAGTAATACTATTATTAAATTTGCTGATGATACAACAGTGGTGGGACTCATCGGGGGTGGGGGTGGTGGATGAGTCGGTCTATCGAGATGGAGTGGACCGGTTGCTTTCATGGTGTGGAGATAGTAACTTGGTCCTTAACACCAAGAAGACCAAGGATCTTATAGTGGACTATAGAAGGAATAGATCAGACATCCAGCCCTTGCTTATCAATGGAGACTGAGTGGAGCAAGTGGCCAGTTTTAAGTTTCTGGGTGTTACCATAAAAGAGGAGCTGACCTGGGGCGCTCACATTGCAGCACTGGTCAAAAGGGCCCAGCAGAGATTAAACTACCTGAGACTTCTCAGGAAACAACAACTGAATGAAAAACTGCTGGTGACCTTCTACCGCTGCACCATAGAGAGTATTTTAACTTACTGCACCTGTGTATGGTTTGCCAATTGCACAGTGGCAGATAGGACAGCGCTCCAGAGGGTCAACGTCATTGCCCAGAGGCTCATTGGTTGCCCTCTCCCCTCCTTGGAAGAGCTTTATAGCTCCCTCAGCCTCAAGAAAGTTCAAAACATTTTTAAAGATCCATCTCATCCAGGGCACCCTTTTTTTTTTTAACTATTACCCTCTGGCAGATGGTACAGGATAATAAAAACAAGGACAAATAGGCTAA